AAAAATTATAAGGATATTTAGAGTTTTCAAACAAAATTCGAGAAAATTCTAGGGTGTCCGAGCACAATCGAGAAAATTTTTAGATTTTCGAGAAAATTTTTCTATTCTCTGGAAAATTCAAAGAAATTCTTCAGTTTTCTAGAACATTCCAGAAAAAGTTTGGGTTTTCGAGACAGTTCTAGATAATTCTTAGGTTTTAGATAAAATTCTAGGAAAATTCTCCGGTTTTGAAAAAATTAGAGGGGGGTGGGGTAATGCGAACAACTAGAGTAAAATGGATACTCAAAAATTTGCGAAATGTTTTTTTTTAATTCAAACTTTTGAAAATCGTTTCATTGGGCATTATGGACACCTGATAAATCTGTATGGACGAGACTAAAATGAACACCCAAAACATTTTCAATAATTGATTTTTAAAAATTTCTTCTTGGCAAAGTTCACAACTGAGAAATTATTCAAGAGTGGGATAAAATAGACATCCGAAAAATTTGGTCCTATTAAAAAATAAAGAAAATTTTCAAAGGACATTTTCCAACAGAATCGTGTCGGTATGTTTTTATAAAGAAAAATTAGAGTTGGGAAAGATATTAACAAACAAACTTCGACTCTATTAAATTTTACATTGAGGTTTGAAATATACAGTAGCTTTGAATTTCCTGTTGTACTCTTGAAATAACTTTGAAATTATTAGTTTTTTTTCAATGATCAATTGCACGCTCTCGACATCTAACCTTTTGTTCATTTGCGAAATTTGTAAGATGGCTACTTTTCTACTCACAGAGGAAATCACCGTAAAACAATAGGCGCAGTGAAGGATAAATGTGAGCAAGGAAAAATTTGATTTACCACCCCCCACGATGAACGTCAAAAATAAGTGATAACAGACAATGCCAATGCTCAATAAAAAGATTGAACTAGGAACTCTAATTTTTCCGAATTTTTAAGCGTCAAGAAACACAAAAATATAAATAGACAAAAACGGGCGGCGCCGCCCTCATTGAACGAGTAATCGCGGGTTAAATTTTTTCATTCGTGACTTTTTAAGAAACCCAAGCATTTTCTAGAATTTCGTATAAAACTGGAGAAGTTCTTCGAAATTTTCAAAGAATCGGAGAATTCTCTTGAAAACTTTTTGAGAATTGAATGTTGGTTTTTTTTGTTGATTATTTTTGGTAATCGGATCTGGCCTTCCCTGGGCTAATCAGAGTTCAGTATTCAATAACATGAAGTACTTCCCAATTAAAATTACAGCGGAAATTTTTCTCATCCAAATGTCAGCCAATAGAATTGCACTATTCGACTGTTATTTCATATAGTCAACACGCTATTCAGCTGATAATTTTTGATAATTCAACTGGTAATTTTTCATGTTGACTATATTTGTGGAAAACAAAAGATTCCGTGGTCAAGTGAACTTCTGGTTGGAACTGTCAAGTGGATTTTGTCTTATAGTGCAATTCTTTTGGCCGACATTTGCATGGGAAAATTCCCTTCTGAATACTACTCGAGCTTCAAAATTAAACGAATAATTCCCTCAAGGTTCCCTGCACACCAACGAAGTCGTCAAGTTTTTCAGGAAAAATCACTCTTGTTTCGCACTTGTGATTTTTTAACCTGAAAAACTTGATTCCTTCGTTTGTTTGCAACGAACCTATCGGAATTGCTCGATAATTTTGAAGCTTTCGTGGTATTACTTGTGGTTATTTCCCCCTAGCTTTTGATAATTTCCCTGTAGCTTTTGATAATTTCCCTCTATCTCTGCAATTGTTTCTCTAACCAAATAACTGTCAAATATTATCCTGTGGAGTGAAAGAAAGTCATCAAGAAAGTCAAAATGAGTCGGTTTGGGAAGGATCCGATTACCAAAAATAATCCGTCGAATATCACTTGACCTCCAAAATGAATCGGACATTTCCCTCATGTTTTCCTGCGTATCAATGATCGGGATAAGTTTTGCAGAACAATCCCTCGCGCTACGCGCTCGGGATTTTGATCTGCAAAATTTCTCCCTCTCGTTGCTCCGCAACAAAACAATCGGGAAATATCCGATAATTTTGGAGGTCTCGTGGTATTACTACTGATTATTTTTCTCACTCGGATTTCAGCCAATCAGAGCGCAGTATTTGAAGCTGTCAAACAGTTTTATTTCGGAAATTTCTAACAAAAATTCCGACGGAAATTCACTAGTAGCTTTTCCAATGTTTCTTATCTTTCAACGCATTTCACGTTTAATATTCTGTCTGACAGATCAGACAGAAAACAAAAAAGTGGGTTAAAAATGTATGGCTGTGTAAATGTATCCGCGGATGCTGTTCACTGCGGAGTGGAAAAATAATCCGTCAAATACCACTGGTGCTCCAAAATTAATCGGATATTTTATGTCTGTGCCTTCGGCTTGACCCTTCGGAGATTACCTTACGTATCCTTCACATGTATGCGTACCTAAAACCATGAGAGCCATCTATGGGGGGAGAAGGGTACTTCGAACTGAGTTACAAGTGTCGGCCAGCGCGGATGACGCGTTTGGACGCGAAGAATCCTCAATACGCTTTCGTTTTCCGAAGCGTGTATGTGTGTCTAAACGTGGTTGTAACGTTCGTTAGAATTTTCACGCGCCAAGAGTGCGATAATTTTGTTTGAGAGTCAAAGGTCCAAGGTAAGTATTCCCTTTGGTCTTTTCGTTGTTTGTTTCAGGGATTAGGTACGAGGCGGTGAGAAAACCGTCGAATATCAGGATTGCCAGTCGCTGCGGTAATCCAATCATCGCGGCCATCTTGAGCAGAGCAGTATGAATAGCGATTGGGGAGTCGCAGGTTCCACCTCGACTTTTACCCTTTTGCCGCTCGCAGGCCTTCCCTCGAGCGAGGCGTAATTAATAGCAAGCCGGGGATCCGTAGGCATTCCCTCGCCCCAGGTTGCAGCTCGCAGGCATTCCCTCGAGCATCTACACGGCATGTCAACAGACCACTGGGTGTATTTGCTCGCTGACATTCTCTCGAGCATACATACACGGTCGAAAAAAGCCGTGGGGCCATCGGATTCACCACGCCCCGTTAACCCATCGGGTTAATTGTTCGCAGACATTCTCTCTCGAACTCACAAGTTCTACGTTTCTGCTGCCGCCATCAGGATTGGGAACGCAGAATGGCTGTCACGGTCGGTAATATACCTTTTTCCTGCTCGCAGTCAGTTCTCGAGCAAACTCAACCTGGTTGTCATTTTTGTCATTTTGACTCTATCGCCAAGTCGCTCCTTCATAGGATGACGACCAATAATAATAATAACAATCGACCTTCTCTGCAGGTTCAAGAGGTTCTCTTGTTACCTATTTGAAAGTCTGTTACAGGTTATACGATGGAGCTGTGCGGTCGGTGAGGATATCCATTAGGTAGACCCATGCCAGCAAAATTCCACATTTTACTTATGCAATGTCATAATCCGATGAAAAATGAAGGCATAAAGTGATATAATTTTTTTCAGATTTTCGATATGTTTTTTAGCACGGCCCACAGCTTTGCATCTTTCTTATGGCTATATACACGTGAAAACGCTAGTAAACTTTCAAATTCTCATTATGTTAGGGAATTATTCGCATTTTATTAGTATTTTTCACTGATCTTTTTCCAGTGAGCTGAACAATAAAGGAATATTTTTTTTGCATTCTTCAACTCATTAATTATTGTTCTGAAAAGTAGAATTTTAGCTGAAAACTGAGGTTTTCCAAGGCATCTCAAAGCTATATAAATTGTTCTATTCCTCTTTCGTTTTCACTAAGTGATTATTCAACTATCCCACCATCGTCTCAGAAAACGAGAAGTATTTTCCTTTATTCTAACTCGCAGAAAAATGCAAACGAAAATTTTCGAATTTTTGGACAGCGTCAGGTGTTCGGATTAGCCCGTGCTCGTGATGAGAGCCATATACTGAAATGGAGACGGGCAGGCAAGTGATCGGACCTTTCTTCGGTCGGGACTAAACCCTTTATTACCCCCAATAAATAAAAGTATACCCTTGAGTTTTTGACAAACAAATTTTTTTTTTCACATTTTAATGAAAAATGAACATTTCTGGATTCCTTAAATTACAACGATTCTATAGTTAAGCTTGATTGATAGAAATATCTCAATTTGGAGTGGAGTTTTTTCGATTGTAATCTTTATTAAACGCTGAAAATCAAATTCAAACGGTGATTTCCAGTGTGATCTAATTTCTATCCGGTTTTGTCAGTATCGTAGTTTGTCTGATAAATGATAATAGCAAGATATTGGTATAGATAAGTACTATAAATTACATAGGGTTCAATTGAAACTTGGAAAAATCGTATGCAAGGAGAAAAATTGAACAAGTAAGATAGGGAGATTGAGAAACATCCAATTTGTAAATGTCGCAATTTTTTCCACGAAAAATCCCAAGTTTTATTTCAATAAATACTTTCCACAATTGTGAAATAAATTTCGGAGGGCGTTCTCTTTTTAGATATTATAAATCATGAAAATGAGTAAAATAGAACTACTAATATTCCTTAATCTAACAATATTTATATATATATTTAAGAATGAAAAAAT